CCATCCTTACAAACCCCACCCCCCCTGGAGCCCAACCCTTGGAATTCCCCCCTGGAATTCCCCCCTGGATGGGGATCCCACCGATGTTCATGATGCTGTCCTTGTCGGGGTTGAAGAAGAGCCAATCGTAGAACAGCGCCAGCTTGGCGTTGGACGCGGCCACGTTGGACTGCGGGGACATTCCAGGGGTTATCCCGGTGGGATAGCACGGAGAGAGATCCCAAACAACCCCCCAGACATTCCAGGGGTTATCCCAACCGACATTCCAGGGGTTATCCCGATGGGATAGCACGGAGAGAGATCCCAAACAACCCCCCTGGACATTCCAGGGGTTATCCCAATGGACATTCCAGGGGTTATCCCGATGGGATAGCACGGAGAGAGATCCCAAACAACCACCCAGACATTCCAGGGGTTATCCCAATGGGATAGCACGGAGAGAGATCCCAAACAACCACCCAGACATTCCAGGGGTTATCCCGATGGGATAGCACGGAGAGAGATCCCAAACAACCCCCCAGACATTCCAGGGGTTATCCTGATGGACATTCCAGGGGTTATCCCCATGGACATTCCAGGGGTTATCCCAACGGAGAGAACCCCCAACCAACCACCTGGAACCCGGAATGGCCACCCCACGAGACTCCTGTGGGATCCAGACATGGAAGATCCATCCCAAGAGTGTGGGATCCAGCCATGGAAACTCATGTGGAGCCCACCCTGAGAGACCTCCGTGGGATCCATCCATGGAAATTCCCATGGAGTCCAAACTGAGAGATCCCTGTGGGATCCAGCCATGGAAGATCCCCATGGAGCCCATTCCAAGGAATCCCCCCATGGTCTCCATCCCATGGAACTACCCCCATCCCACGGAATTCCCCCCTGGATCCCCCTGGAATGACTCACGGTGCAGGTGGTGAGCAGATCAATCCCCCCATGGATTCCATCCCCCAGAATTCCCCCCTGGAATTCCCCCTGGAATGACTCACGGTGCAGGTGGTGAGCAGATCAATCCCCCCATGGATTCCATCCATAGAATCCCACCCCATCCCATGGAATCTCCCCCTGGATCCCTCTGGAGCGACTCACGGTGCAGGTGGTGAGCAGATCAATCCCCCCATGAGGAGATCAATCCCCCCATGGATTCCATCCCCCCTGGATCCCCCTGGATCCCTCTGGAATGACTCACGGTGCAGGTGGTGAGAAGAGCCATCCCTCCATGGATTCCATCCCCCAGAATTCCCACAGAATTCCCCCCTGGAGTGACTCACGGTGCAGG